GGCGTGCTCCAGGTTGCCCTCCTGGCAGTAGACCGTGGCCATGCGCAGCATCTCGACACCCGAGCGGAAGTAGCGGCGCGGGGGCACGTCCTCGCTGACCTGCACGCTGCTGCCCGCCCGGATCAGCCGCCGCACGCGCTCCTCGGGGGCCAGGCTGGCGCTGCCCGCCGCCCCGGGCATGGCGCCGGCACCCGGCCGCGCTGCGGAGGGAGGGCAGTGAGACCGGAGGGAACCGGGGATGGGGAAGCGGGGAGTCGGGGGAATCGGGGAACCGCGGAAATCAGGGAATCACAGAGGTCAGAAACACAGAGGTCAGGGGATATCAGAGATCAGGGAATCACAGAGATCAGGGAATCATGAATAACGGAAATCAGGGAATCACGGAAATGAGGGAATCATGGAAATCAGGAATCATGAATAACAGAAATCAGGGAATCACAGAGGTCAGAAACACAGAGGTCAGGGGATATCAGAGATCAGGGAATCACAGAGATCAGGGAATCATGAATAACGGAAATCAGGGAATCACGGAAATGAGGGAATCATGGAAATCAGGAATCATGAATAACAGAAATCAGGGAATCACAGAGGTCAGAAACACAGAGGTCAGGGGATATCAGAGATCAGGGAATCACAGAGATCAGGGAATCATGAATAACGGAAATCAGGGAATCACGGAAATGAGGGAATCATGGAAATCAGGAATCATGAATAACAGAAATCAGGGAATCACAGAGGTCAGAAACACAGAGGTCAGGGGATATCAGAGATCAGGGAATCACAGAGATCAGGGAATCATGAATAACGGAAATCAGGGAATCACGGAAATGAGGGAATCATGGAAATCAGGAATCATGAATAACAGAAATCAGGGAATCACAGAGGTCAGAAACACAGAGGTCAGGGGATATCAGAGATCAGGGAATCACAGAGATCAGGGAATCATGAATAACGGAAATCAGGGAATCACGGAAATGAGGGAATCATGGAAATCAGGAATCATGAATAACAGAAATCAGGGAATCACAGAGGTCAGAAACACAGAGGTCAGGGGATATCAGAGATCAGGGAATCACAGAGATCAGGGAATCATGAATAACGGAAATCAGGGAATCACGGAAATGAGGGAATCATGGAAATCAGGAATCATGAATAACAGAAATCAGGGAATCACAGAGGTCAGAAACACAGAGGTCAGGGGATATCAGAGATCAGGGAATCACAGAGATCAGGGAATCATGAATAACGGAAATCAGGGAATCACGGAAATGAGGGAATCATGGAAATCAGGAATCATGAATAACAGAAATCAGGGAATCACAGAGGTCAGAAACACAGAGGTCAGGGGATATCAGAGATCAGGGAATCACAGAGATCAGGGAATCATGAATAACGGAAATCAGGGAATCACGGAAATGAGGGAATCATGGAAATCAGGAATCATGAATAACAGAAATCAGGGAATCACAGAGGTGAGAAATCACAAGGTCAGGGAGTCACGGAAATGGGGGAATCACGGAAATCAGGGAATCATAAATAACGGAAATCAGGGAATCACAGAGGTGAGAAATCACAAGGTCAGGGAATCACGGAAATGGGGGAATCATGGAAATCTGGGAATCATGGAAATCAGGAATCATGAATAACAGAAATCAGGGAATCATGGAAATGGGGGAATCACGGAAATCAGGGAATCACAGAGGTCAGGGGATATCAGAGATCAGGGAATCACAGAGGTCAGGGGATATCAGAGATCAGGGAATCACAGAGATCAGGGGATCGTGAATAAGAGAAATGAGGGAATCACAGAGGTCAGGGGATATCAGAGATCAGGGAATCACAGAGATCAGGGGATCGTGAATAAGAGAAATGAGGGAATCACAGAGGTCAGGGGATATCAGAGATCAGGGAATCACAGAGATCAGGGGATCGTGAATAAGAGAAATGAGGGAATCACAGAGGTCAGGGGATATCAGAGATCAGGGAATCACAGAGATCAGGGGATCGTGAATAAGAGAAATGAGGGAATCACAAGAATGAGGGAATCACGGAGATCAGGGAATCACAGAAATCACTGGATCACAGAAATCAGGCAATCAGGGAGTCAGGGAATTGGGGGAATCACGGATCACAGAAATCACTGAAACGCAGAAGTCAGGGAACTGGGGAAATGAGGGAAATCTGGGAATCATGAATCATAAAAATCAGGGAAACCACTGAAACACAGAAATCACTGAACGTGGGAATCAGGGAGCTGGGGAATCACGGAATCACTGGATCACAGAAATCACTGAATTTGGGAATCAGGGAAATCACTGGATCACGGAAATCAGGGAATGACAGACATCGGGGAATCATGGAATTAGGGAATCACAGGGCTCCAGGATCCTCCCCTCCCAACAGGGCAAAGGGAGCCCCAAACCGGCCCCTGCCCCGAGCGGAAACACCCCCAGCCCTGCGCAGATCCCCTTCCGATCAGACATGGCGGTTACCAATTAATTTACGCCACTAATTAATTTAGGATTCAGGACAGGAACTTAAAGCGAAGGTCCCCACAGCCAGCGCCCCCCCCGGAATGGGATCCTCCTTCCTACAGTGAATATCCACGGCCGGAACACTCCGGGCGGTGCCCCCCGCTCAAGGGGGGAAGATTGCAGACCCCGCTGCTGCCCGCGCCGCCATACTGACCCCCCAAGCGGAGCGCTCCTGCCGCGGGCTCTCGGGGCAGCTCGGGACGCCCCAGCACCGCAGCCCTGGCGCCTCAAGCCGCCCCCGGTGCTCAGAGGGACCCCCCCATCCCGCAGGGCCCTCCCCAGCCCGGCCCGGCCCTGACCTGGCGCGGGCCGCCGCCGTTTCCCCTCAGCACTTCCGGGTTCTTCCCCACCTGCCGCCGCCTCGCTCTCAGCAGCCAATCAGAAGCCGCCTCAACATCCGGGCATGTAGCACGCACCCCTGACTTCCGCCCGGTTGCGAAGCGGCTTCCGCTCCCTTAGGGGGACGTGGTGACGTCATAGCGGTGCGTCTTAAAGGGGCCGCGCCCGCGGAAATGCCGCGCTCCGCCCGGCCCAAACCCGGCCGTTCTCACCCCAAAACCGGGCCCGACCCCCCCGCAGCGCGGGCCCCTCGCGGGAATCACTGCTCCGCAGCCAGGCTGGAGTTTGCACAGCGTGGGAATTTACTTTAGCAAAAGTAGAAATTTTTTACTCGGGTAAAAAAACGTCTCTGATTTTACCCAACAGCAAAAACGGGTAAAAAAGGATAAAAATCGGAGTTGCAAGGCCACTCCATTCCTCGCTGTGCCCTGAGGAGATCAACAAAAGCCGGTTTTGTTGCCCAGGGACAGCTGAGGGTGTTCCTGTGGGGTTATTCAGCATGCCCAGAGTTAAAAATTCCTGTGAAAGCACCAGAGCTGGGAGAAAAACCAGATTCAAACCAGCCCTGATTCTTAAAAACCTGCTGCCTGGCAGCTCCTGCTGCTCCCCGCAGGGCTCTCCTGGTGGAGAAGCACCAGAGCTGTGGGCAGTGAGAGAAACCAGATCAAAAATCAGATTAAAAATCAGATGAAAAGTCAGATTAAAAGTCAGCTGGAAGCCCTGTCCAGCTGCTGGGCAGCTGCTGCTGCTGCTTCTTCTTCTTCTTGGGGGGTGGGGAGAGGCAGCAGTTCCTGGGGGGCAGCTCCAGGGCCCCCTGCTCCTGAGAGCTCTGCTCCAGATGTTTCTGCTTCCTCTGCTCCTGATGTTCCATTTCCAGATGTTTCTTTTCCTTATGTTGCTGCTTCTTCTGCTTCCTCTGCTCCTGATGTTCCATTTCCAGATGTTTCTTTTCCTTATGTTGCTGCTTCTTCTGCTTCCTCTGCTCCTGATGTTCCATTTCCAGATGTTTCTGTTTCTTCTGTTCCATCCCCAGATGATTCTGCTGATCCTGCTCCAGATGTTTCTGTTTCTTCTGTTCCATCTCCAGATGATTCTGCTGATCCTGCTCCAGATGTTTCTGTTGTTTCTGTTTCTTCTGTTTCCTCTTCTCCTGCTGCTCTATTTCCACATGATTCTGCTCCAGATGATTCTGCTTTTCCTGCTCCAGATGTTCCTGTTTATTCTGCTTCCTCTGCTCCTGATGTTCCATCTCCAGATGTTTCTGTTTCTTCTGTTTTTTCTCTTCCTGATGTTCCATCTCCAGATGTTTCTGTTTCTTCTGTTTTTTCTCTTCCTGATGTTCCATCTCCAGATGTTTCTGTTTCTTCTGTTTTTTCTCTTCCTGATGTTCCCTTTCCAGATGATTCTGTTCCTGATGTTTCTGTTTCTTCTGTTTTTTCTGTTCATGATGTTCCATTTCCAGATGATTCTTCCTCTGCTCCTGATGTTCCATTTGCTTCCTCTGCTCCTGATGTTCCATTTCCAGATGATTCTGCTTTTCCTGCTCCAGATGTTTCTGTTTCTTCCGTTTCCACTGCTCCTGATGCTCTGTCTCCAGATGCTCCATCCAGATGTTTCTGTTTCTTCCGTTTCCTCCGCTCCTGATGATCTGTCTCCAGATGCTCCAGGTGTTCCAGCTTTTTCTGCCTCCTGCTCTCCTGATGTTCCATCTCCAGATGATTCTGCTCTTCCTGCTCCAGATGTTTCTGTTTCTTCTGCTTCCTCTGCTCCTGATGCTGCTGCTCCTGAAGCTCCAGTTTTTTCTGCTCCCTCTGCTCCTGATGCTCTATTTCCAGATGATTCTGCTTTTCCTGCTCCAGATGTTTCTGTTTCTTCTGCTTCCTCTCCTCCAGATGATTCTGCTCCTGAAGCTCCAGTTTTTTCTGCTCCCTCTGCTCCTGATGCTCTATTTCCAGATGATTCTGCTTTTCCTGCTCCAGATGTTTCTGTTTCTTCTGTTTCCTCTGCTCCTGCTGCCCTATTTCCACATGATTCTGTTCCTGATGTTCCAGCTTTTTCTGCTTCCTCTCTTTCTTCTGCTCCTGATGTTCCAGTTTTTTCTGCTTCCTCTCCTCCAGGTGATTTTGCTCATTCATTTCCAGATGATTCTGCTTTTCCTTCTCCAGCTGATTCTGTTCCAGATGTTTCAGCTTTTTCTGCTTCCTCTCCTCCAGGTGATTTTGCTTTTTCTGCTTCCTCTGCTCCTGATGTTCCATTTCCAGATGATTCTGCTTTTCCTGCTCCAGATGTTCCTGTTTCTTCTGCTTCCTCTCCTCCAGATGATTCTGCTTTTTCTGCTTCTTCTGCTCCAGATGTTCCATTTTTTTCTGCTTCTTCTGCTCCAGATGATTCTGCTCCAGATGTTTCAGCTTTTTCTGCTTCCTCTGCTCCTGGTGCTCCATTTCCAGATGTTCCTGCTCCAGATGCTCCAGTTTTTTCTGCTTCCTCTGCTCAAACTTTTCCTGCTTCCTCTGCTCCAGCTGATTCTGTTCCTGATGATTCTGCTTTTTCTGCTTCCTCTGCTCCAGATGATTCTGCTCCAGATATTTCAGCTTCTTCTGCTTCTTCTGCTCCAGATGCTCCATCTCTAGATGATTCTGCTCCTGATGTTCCAGCTTTTTGTGTTTCCTCTGTTCCAGATGCTCTGTCTCCAGATGATTCTTCTCCTGATGTTCCAGCTTTTTCTGCTGCCTCTGCTCCAGCTGCTCCATCTCCACATCATCCTGCTGCCTCTGCTTCTTCTGCTTCCTTTCCTCCAGATGTTCTGTCTCCAGAGGATTCTGCTTTTTCTTCTTCCTCTGCTCCTGATGCTCCAGCTTTTTGTGTTTCCTCTGTTCCAGATGCTCTGTCTCCAGATGATTCTGCTCCTGATGCTCCAGCTTTTTCTGCTGTCCCTGCCTCTGCCTGGCACTGCTGCTGCTCCTGCAGGGAAAATGGGGATCAGCACCCCAAAAAGGGCTGGGGGAGCACCCAGAGCCCCTCTGGGTGCACCCAGTGCACCCTCAGCCCTTCTGGGTGCCTTTCCTGCAGGGAAAATGGGGATCAGCACCCCAAAAAGGGCTGGGGGAGCACCCAGAGCCTTTCCTGCAGGGAAATTTGGGATCAGCACCCCAAAAAGGGCTGGGGGAACACCCAGAGCCTTTCCTGCAGCCTGAACTCCCAGAGAGGCTCACTCCTGATTTCTGGAGGAAATTTCAGGAGGAATTTCAATTTCAAATTCTCAGGAAATTTCCATTTCCATCAGGATTTTTTTCCATTTCCATCAGGGATTTTCAATTTCCATCAAGGATTTTTTTCAATTTCCATCATGGATTTTCAATTTCCATCAAGGATTTTTTTCAATTTCCATCATGGATTTTTTTTTCAATTTCCACAATGGATTTTTTTTTTTTTCAATTTCCATCAGGAATTTCCTGATTCTCCATTTCCATCAGGAACTGGGGAGGAGGGGAAGGAGCCACAGCTGTGCCCAAAGCTGGCAGTGGCTCCCAAACTTGTCCTGGAGATGCTCTGGGAGCTCCCCCACGGGCAGGAGGTGCCAGAGCTCAGCTCCCAGCTGGGGGAGGCTCCTGGCACTCCATTCCTGGGAATTCCCAGCTGGGAACATCCCTGGGGGTGCCCCAGGCACAGGAGCCTCACTGTTGGCATTTTGGCCCTGAACTTTCAGAGAGGCAAAGCCCTGGGGGAGCTGCAGCCTGGAAAAACCCAGCTGGGATTGCTCCCAGAGGGAAGGAGCAGCTCCCTGGGCCAGGGGAGGGGGCAAACACCTACCTGGGCACTGCCAGGGGGGGCTGGGGGTGCTCCTGGGGCTTGCCTGGGCCACTGCCCTTCTTCCTGGGATCTGAGCCCGGATTCTTCAGCTCACAGCTGCTTTTGGAGGGAATTTGAAAGAGAATTCCAGATGTTTTCACTGGAACAAGGGAGTTTTTCACCCGCTGAGCTCTTCCCACACCCTTTCCATCAGGAACTGGGGAGGAGGGGAAGGAGCCACAGCTGTGCCCAAAGCTGGCAGTGGCTCCCAAACTTGTCCTGGAGATGCTCTGGGAGCTCCCCCACGGGCAGGAGGTGCCAGAGCTCAGCTCCCAGCTGGGGGAGGCTCCTGGCACTCCATTCCTGGGAATTCCCAGCTGGGAACATCCCTGGGGGTGCCCCAGGCACAGGAGCCTCACTGTTGGCATTTTGGCCCTGAACTTTCAGAGAGGCAAAGCCCTGGGGGAGCTGCAGCCTGGAAAAACCCAGCTGGGATTGTTCCCAGAGGGAAGGAGCAGCTCCCTGGGCCAGGGGAGGGGGCAAACACCTACCTGGGCACTGCCAGGGGGGGCTGGGGGTGCTCCTGGGGCTTGCCTGGGCCACTGCCCTTCTTCCTGGGATCTGAGCCCGGATTCTTCAGCTCACAGCTGCTTTTGGAGGGAATTTGAAAGAGAATTCCAGATGTTTTCACTGGAACAAGGGAGTTTTTCACCCGCTGAGCGATCCCACCAGCTCTTGGAAGGAGACCTGGGGGGGTTTTCCATCCACCTCCAACCCCAGAATGGTTTGGGTTGGAAAAGACCTCAAATCCCACCCAAGGACACCTTCCCCTAGCCCAGGCTGCTCCCTGCACTCTCCCAGGGATGGAGCAGCCCCAGATTTCCTGGCAATTCCACCCCAGCCCCTCGCCACCCTCACGGGGGGGGATTTCTCCCCCAGAGCCCAGCTAACCCTGCCCTGTGTGAGCTCTGACCGTGCCCCCCGGGCTGGGTGTGCCCCCAGCCCCAGCTGGAGCCCCCTGAGGCTCAGGAGCTGCTCCTGGAGCAGGCAGGCTCACCTCTGGGCTCTCCCCTGCAGGTCCTTGATGTAGTTGGCTCTCTCCATGCGGTGCCCTCGGGATGTGTTGAACACTGGGGACAGAGTTACCCCAGAGCAACTGAAACCACCCAAAAACTCTACTTTTCACTTAGCTTTTAGCTAACTAAACAAAAAAAAAAGTTTCCTGAACTTTAATTTTTCTTGTTCTTCAAACCTACTCTGAACTAAAAACCCAAAAAAAGAATCTACAACCCACCAGAGCCTGAACCACTGCATTCCAACACCAAAATACTAATAAAAAACTAAGCAAACCTAACTACAATCCACGAAAAAGTTTCTAAATTTGATTTAATTTCTCTTGAAAACAACAGAAAGTTTTATTGTTTAACATTATTAATCTTTCACACTTAGAAACACTTTGTTAAATAAATTATTTTTCCCACTTTTCTCCAAAAAAAATAACCTTTTCCCAAATAAAAAGAAAAGCCTCTTCAAGCTTTTTTAAAACACTTTTTAAAAAAGTTTCCTCCCAAAATCTGCCCTTCCCTCCCTGAACACTGCCCACCCCACAGGATGCTCACACTCTATGGCAGCATTTGGCTCCATGCCTTCAACATCAATCAGGTACCTGAAAGAGCAGCAGAACATCTCTAATTAAACAATTAATTATGAAAACACCGATGGGTTGGTGATGATGCAAACAGAAGGAAAAGACTGGGGAGTTTTAAAGCTTTTATTTATGGAAAAGCAGCATTTACTGATGGATTTTGGGATGAAAAATGCCCCCTAAGAAAAGCTGTGAATCCTTGCAAGTTTGGGGCCACAGGAATCACTCCACTCTGCTTTCCTCCTGCAGTGCCACCACTGAGCCCACCTGGGACAGGAGAACTCACCTGGAACTGTCACAGGAGTGACCTGGAATTGTCACCACTGAGCCCACCTGGGACAGGAGAACTCACCTGGAACTGTCACAGGAGTGACCTGGAATGCCACCAGGAGAACTGAGCTGGAATTGTCACCACTGAGCCCACCTGGGCAAGGAGAACTCACCTGGGAGTGCCACCAGGAGAACTGACCTGGAAGTGCCACCACTGAGCCCACCTGGGCAAGAACTCACCTGAAGTGTCACCAGTGACCCTGTGGCCAAGAACTGACCTGGAAGTGCCACCACTGAGCTCACCTGGACAAGGAGAGCTCGCCTGGAATTGTCACCAGGAGAATTGACCTGGAATTGCCACCAATGAAGCCCTCAGGGCAGGAACTCACCTGGAAGTGGCACAAGGAGAACTCACCTGGAATTGCCACCACTGGGCCCACGTGGGGAAGGAGAACTGACTTGGAAGTGCCACCACTGATCCCCTCTGGCCAAGAACTCACCTGAGTGCCCCCAGGGAGCCCTGTGGGCAAGAACTCACCTGGAATTGCCACCAGGGAGCCTGTGGGCAAGAACTCACCTGGAATTGCCCCCAGGGAGCCCTGTGGGCAAGCAGCACTCACCTGAGTGCCACCAGGGAGCCCTGTGGGCAAGGACTCACCTGGAAGTGCCACAGGGAGCCCTGTGGGCAAGCAGCACTCACCTGAGTGCCCCCAGGGAGCCCTGTGGGCAAGGACTCACCTGGAATTGCCCCCAGGGAACCTGTGGGCAAGCAGCACTCACCTGCAGACCAGGTAGCCAGTCCTGTTCAGGCCATGTGTGCAGTGCACCCCGATGAGTTTATCTGCAACACACACAGGGCACCCTGAGCTGCTTCCCCTCCCAAATGTCCCAAATGTCCCCAGAAGGAGCCCCTCTGCCCCACCCCCCCAGCACGGTGCAATAACCGCAGCCCTAATTAGCGCTCAGCTCGTTAATTGTGGCTCATCTGCTCCGTGCCAGAGCTCAAACCCAATCAAGGCTCGAGTCACACAGAACCCTGCAGTGCTCTGGGCTGGGAGGGAGCTCAGAGCCCACCCAGGTGAGTTCAAAAACCCCCAAAATCCAGGGGAGCTCTGCCTCCATCCCTGCCCAGGAAAATCCAATTTATTGCCTGGGTATTCCCAGGCCAAGAGGAGGGAAAGGAATCCCTGCTGGGCCAGGAGGGACCCCAGGCTCACCGTTGTCTTTGTTGGCCATCAGGAAGTCTCTCACCAGGCAGCTGAACTTCAGGAAGGTTTTTGTGCTGGGGATCTCGTGGCCCATGGTCAGGATCTTCGAATAGCACAGCGTGGGGGGCAGCTCCTGGGGGGAAAAAAGGCAGGAATTTCCAGAAAAAGCACAGAAATCCTGATTAATTATACAGTAACAGGTTAAAAAAGAACAGAAAAAAGCAGTTTTCCTCACACAAAATTCTTATTAATTAAAGAATCACAGGTAGTAAACCAGAAAAAGGTGAGTTTTCCTCACACAAAAACTCTTATTAATTACACAATCACAAAGGAATAAAGCAGAAAAAAGCAGATTTCCTCACAAAAAAATTCTTATTAATTAAAGAACCACAGGTAATAAACCACAGAAAGTGAGTTTTCTCACCAAAGCCTAAGCAGAAAAAAGCAGTTTTCCTCACACAAAAATTCTTATTAATTAAAGAATCACAGGTAATAAACCACAAAAAGTGAGTTTTCTCACCAAACCCCAAAGAGCAGCTGCAGTTTTAGGTAAGAAAAGTTCTGTTTATAAGAATCAGTTTACATAACAATCTGGGTTTTTAACAATCTGGTTTTGTGAGAAAACAGGCTACACCTGCAAAAATAAAAAATGTGTCCTGTGAAGAGTCCATAAAGGCAAAATATATATTAAAAATTATATAAATATATATTTTTAATATGTTTTAATATAAAAAATTATAAACATACCCCAAAAGAAAATAATTTGACATGAGCCATCACCAACCAATCAATTAAAATTCAATTATTTATTAACCTATTACATTCAAACCAGTCCATAAAGAAAAAATATAAATATACCTAAATTAAATAAATATACCTCATTATAAATATACCTAATAAATATATACATACCTAATAAATATACCTATACATTTACCTAATAAATATACCTAATTATAAGTATATCTAATAAATATATATGTATCTAATGAGTATACCTAATTATAAATATACCTAATAAATATTTATATATCTAATTATACATATACCTAATTTCTTTCTGAAAAGAAAACAATTTAATAGACATGGACACCAGCCATCACCATCCACCTTACAATGATTCACTAACCTATAAAATTCCAGTACAGCACCTTCTGATACCATATAAAAATACAAAAAAAATACAAAATCTACCGTAAAGATTCAGCTATTCTACTCAAAAAAACCCACTCTGTCTGATTTTTTACTCTAACAAAAAATCAGGGAACAGCCAGGGTGTTGTTTTTGAGGAGAATTCCCCAGGTTTGAGCTCTTCCCTCAGGAGAACCCACAAACCCCATTTCGAACATCACCCCCAAATTTGGGCTGGATCCAAGAAGATCTGGGGGTTGGAGAATTGATCAGAAACATCCCCCTGGCCTGCAAGGTTTCCCCTCAGCCCTGGCAGAGGATTCCAGCCCTGCCCCTCTCCAGGGAGCTGTTTTTGAGGAGAATTCCCCACTTTTGAGCTCTGAGCTCTTCCCTCAGGAGACATTACAAACCCTACCCGAACATCACCCCCAAATTTGGGCTGGCTCAAAAAAACCCACTCTGTCTGATTTTTTACTCTAACAAAAAATCAGGGAACAGCCAGGGTGTTGTTTTTGAGGAGAATTCCCCAGGTTTGAGCTCTTCCCTTAGGAGAACCCACAAACCCCACCACAATGACATCCCCAAATTTGGGCTGGCTCAGAGGATTTAGGGATTGAAGAATTGATTTCCCCAGGTTTGAGCTCTTCCCTCAGGAGAACCCACAAACCCCACCCGAACATCACCCCCAAATCTGGGCTGGCTCAGAGGATTTGGGGGTTGAAGAGTTGATCCCTGCCCACAAGGTTTCCCCTCAGCCCTGGCAGAGGATTCCAGCCCTGCCCCTCTCCAGGGAGCTGTTTTTGAGGAGAATTGCCCAGTTCTGGCACCGACCTCGGGGCCGTAGTAGCGCGTGGTGTAGGTGAGGTCGATGATCAGCCCCAGCTCCTCCTTCCTCTCCTGCACCTTCCTGATGAGGTCGTGAGGGGAAAATCTCTGCCGTGGCAGAAGGTTCTGCTCAAAGCACTGCAGGAAATGATGGTTTGGAGCACTTGTTAAAACCTGGGGGTGGGGAGAGGCTCCTGCTCTGGGGAGCAGAGACAACAACTCAGGCAAAAAAAAACAAGTCACATTTTGGTCACTAAATTCTGGGCTGGTTTGGGTGAAAATGACACTGAAATCAGTTCATGGATTTGCTCAGAGCTCTGGGGCTGCTCAGCTGGGAGCTGCCAGGCTGAGTGACAAATTCCACAGTGACAAACACAGCTGGGCACTCACTGCAGTGCTGAAAACCAGGGATTCAGCCCAAACAGAAAGTTCTGATGAAAATTCTGCAGGAAATGATGTTTTAAAGAAGGAAATGATGTTTTAAAGCAGTTACTAAAGTCTGGGGGTGTTGTGAGGGGTGGGGAGAGGCTCCTGCTCTGGAGAGCAGAGACAACAACCCAGGCAAAAAAAAAAAAAGAAAAACACATTTTGGTCACTGAATTCTGGGCTGGTTTGGGTGAAAATGACACTGAAATCAGCCAGTTCATGGATGTGCTCAGAGCTCTGGGGCTGCTCAGCTGGGAGCTGCCAGGCTGAGTGACAAATTCCACAGTGACAAACACAGCTGGGCACTCACTGCAGTGCTGAAAACCAGGGATTCAGCCCAAACAGAAAGTTCTGATGAAAATTCTGCAGGAAATGATGTTTTAAAGAAGGAAATGATGTTTTAAAGAAGGAAATGATGTTTTAAAGCAGTTACTAAAGTCTGGGGGTGTTGTGAGGGGTGGGGAGAGGCTCCTGCTCTGGAGAGCAGAGACAACAACCCAGGCAAAAAAAAAAAAAGAAAAACACATTTTGGTCACTGAATTCTGGGCTGGTTTGGGTGAAAATGACACTGAAATCAGCCAGTTCATGGATTTGCTCAGAGCTTTGGGGCTGCTCAGCTGGGAGCTGCCAGGCTGAGTGACAAATTCCACAGTGACAAACACAGCTGGGCACTCACTGCAGCTCTGCTGTGGGAATTCAGCCCAAACACACAAATCACACAAATCACACAAATTCCCCTGATTTTTCTCCCCCTGTCCCTGTCCCAAACCTCCCTGGGCAGCTCCATCCCCTCCCTGCCCTTCCCAGGAAGAAATCTCCCCTTATTTTTCTCCTCCTGTCCCTGTTCCAAATCTCCCTGGGCAGCTCCATCACCTCCCTGCCCTTCCTAGGAGGAAATTCCCCTGATTCCTCTCCTCCTGACCTTGTCCCAAACCTCCCTGTCCTTCCCAGGAAAAAATCCCCATGATTTTTCTTCTCTTGTCCCTGTCCCAAACCTCCCTGAGCAGCTCCATCCCCTCCCTGCCCTTCCCAGGAAGAAATCTCCCCTTATTTTTCTCCTCCTGTCCCTGTTCCAAATCTCCCTGGGCAGCTCCATCACCTCCCTGCTCTTCCTAGGAGGAAATCCCCTGATTCCTCCCTTCTGTCTGTGTTCCAACACCTCCCTGTCCTTCCCAGGAGAAAATCCCCCTGATTTTTCTTCTCTTGTCCCTGTCCCAAACCTCCCTGCCCTTCCCAGGAAGAAATTCCTCCTGATGTCCAGCCTGGAGCTGATTTCTGTCCTCCTGTCCCTGTCCCAGCCCTCCCTGGGCAGCTCCATCCCCTCCCTGCCCTTCCCAGGAACAAATTCCCCCTGATGTCCAGCCTGGAGCTGATTTCTGTCCTCCTGTCCCTGTCCCAGCCCTCCCTGGGCAGCTCCATCCCCTCCCTGCCCTTTCTAGAAAGAAATTCCACCTGATTTTTCTCCTCCTGTCCCCGAACCTCCCTGCCCTTCCCAAGAAGAAATTCCTCCTGATGTCCAGCCTGGAGCTGATTTCTGTCCTCCTGTCCCTGTCCCAGCCCTCCCTGGGCAGCTCCATCCCCTCCCTGCCCTTTCTAGAAAGAAATTCCACCTGATTTTTCTCCTGCTGTCCCTGTCCCAAACCTCCCTGCCCTTCCCAGGAACAAATTCCCCCTGACTGTCCGTGTTCCAACACCTCCCTGCCCTTCCCAGGAGAAAACCCCCCTGATTTTTCTTCTCTTCTCCCCGTCCCAAACCTCCCTGGGCAGCTCCATCACCTCCCTGCCCTTTCTAGAAAGAAATTCCTCCTGGAGCTGATTTTTCTCCTCCTGTCCCAAACCTCCCTGCCCTTCCCAGGAACAAATTCCTCCTGATGTCCAGCCTGGGGCTCATTTCTGTCCTCCTGTCCCTGTCCCAGCCCTCCCTGAGCAGCTCCATCCCCTCCCTGCCCTTCCCAGGAGAAAATCCCCATGATTTTTCTTCCCTTGCAGCCTGGAGCTGATTTTTCTTCTCCTCTCCCTGTCCCAAACCTCCCTGAGTGGCTCCATCCCCTCCCTGCCCTTCCCAGGAGGAAATCCCCCCAATTCCTCCCCTCCTGTCCCCGTCCCCTGCAGCAGAGCCCTCCCAAGCCCAGCTCAGGATTTTGGGAGCAGGAATTCCCTCAAGGAAGCCCCACCAGGCCAGGCTTGCCCCCAGCCCCCCGTGCCCCTCCCTCACCTTCTTCAGGGGCACCTTGAAGGCCACGAAGCGCGTGCCCGGCATCCTGCGGCCCAGCGGGGTGTAGGCTGTCCACCTGAGCCCAGGGGGGGTCAAACGGGGCAGGGACCCCCGGCCCGGCCCCCCCAGACACCCCCAGACCCGGCTACAGAACCCCCCCGGCCTGGGAACCCCGAATGCACCAGCACTGAGAGCCCTCAGCGTCCCCTGGTGAAAAATCCCCCACGGCCAGGGACCCCCGAGCCACCAGAATCCCCCCAGTCCTGGGGACCCCTCAAACCCTGCCCAGCCCAGGGACCCCCCAAATTCCTCCCAGTCCTGGGGACCCCTCAAACTCTGCCCAGCCCAGGGACCCCCCAAATCCCCCTGTCCTGGGGACCCTCAAACCCTGTCCAGCCCAGAGACCCCCCAAATTCCTCCCAGTCCTGGGGACCCCTCAAACCCTGTCCAGCCCAGGGACCCCCAAATCCTCCCAGTCCTGAGGACCCTCAAGCCTACCCCAGCCTGGGAACCACGGCCCTGGTCTAGGGACCCTCAAACCTCTCCCAGGCCCAGAATTCCCAAATCCCCCCTCAAACCTCCCCAGGCCCGGGACCCCCAAATCGCCCCCTGGCTGAGGGACCTTCAACTGCCACCCTGGCCAGAGATCCTCAAGTCAGGCCCAGAATTCCCAAATCCCCCCTGAAACCTCCCCAGGCCCGGGACCCCCAAATCCCCCCCCTGGCTCAGGGACCTTGAACTCCCACCCTGGCCAGAGATCCTCAAGCGTCCCCAGGCCCGGGGACCCTCACACCCTGCGGCCCCACAGCCCCTCACACCGTGTATCCCCTCACAGCCCGCGGCCCCACAGCCCCTCACACCCTGTATCCCCTCACGCCGTGTATCCCCTCACACCGTGTATCCCCTCACAGCCCGCGGCCCCGCGCTCACCGAGCCGGGACGCGGCAGGCCCCTCTGCGCGCCATGATGGTGACGCCGTGGCGCCCGCGCGTGACGTCACTTCCACAACCGCCACGCGAGGTGGAGGAACGACAATAGCCACGCCCCCACGGTGAGGCCACGCCCGTCACAGGGAGGCCACGCCTCCCGTGCGGCGTCCTGGGGCTCGCGCGCCGCGTAGCGGTCACGGGTGGTACTGCAGGCACGGAGCGGTGGCGGGACAGAACCGGGACAGAACCGGGACCGAAACGGGACAGAACCGGGACCGAAACGGGGCCACTGAGCTGGGACAGAACCGGGATAGAACCGGGACCGAAACGGGGCCACTGAGCTGGGACAGAACCGGGACCGAACCGGGACAGAACCGGGACAGAACCGGGGCCACTGAGCTGGGACAGAACGGGGACCGAGCCGGGGCCACTGAGCTGGGACAGAACCGGGACCGAACCGGGACCGAACTGGCACCAAATCGGGGCCACTGAGCTGGGACAGAACCAGCACCGAACCAGGACCAAACCGGGACAGAACCGGGACCGAACAGGGACAAAACCAGGACCACTGAACCGGGGACACCGAAATGGGGACACCGAACCGGGACCGAATTTGGACCGAATTGGGACCAAACCGGGACCACTGAGCTAGGACCAAACCGGCACCGAACTGGAGGGAAATCATGGTGGGAGTGGGAAATGATGGTGGGGATGGGAAATCTCATTGTGGACGTGGGAGTCAAATGGGAATGGGGATGGGAAATCCTCTTGGGGATGGGAAATCATCATGGATATGGAAGTCAAATGGGAATGGGGATGAGGAATCCTCATGGGGATGGGAAATCCAGGCTGGGCTTAGGAAATCACCGTGGGAACAGGAAATGGAGGCTGTGGTTGGGAAATCACGGTGAGAATGGGAAATCACGGTGGGAAATCATCCCTGCCATCCCCATCACTGCCCAGCACCAGCGTGGGCATCCAGGGCTCCCTTGCCGGGCACAGAAATCCTGAAAATCCCAAGAATTCCTGACCCGGCATGGCACAAACCGAGCCGGACAGGATTTTGCCATCCCCAACATCCCGTTCCCAAGCGGGTGGTGGGGATGAGCCTGGAATAAAAGTGGGAGAAAAGCCCTTTTCCAGAGGAGGGGAAGCACCGGATTAGCATCCACGCCGGGGAGACGGGGCCGTGGGCGGGGAAGGGCCGGTCCGACCGCCCGGCCGAGCAGGGTCGCGGCTCTCGGGGCGCCCCGCGGCCGTCTGGGCTGCTCCCCCCAGAGATCAGGTTGAACCTCCTGAGCTTCCAGCCCAGCCTGTAATTAGCGCTCGACCAGGAGGATCCGGGCCCTGGGAAGGAGCCGTGGCACCTCGGGGTGTGGGACAGGCGCCGGCTGAGGCCGCAGAACTCATCTCACACCCGGCTGGGGCTCGGCGCCCCTCTCCACGTGCTCCTCCTGGTTTTGTGTCCTTGTTGCTACCCCAGCTCTCAGGATGCTTTTCCAAAGGGTGATTCTGACCCCCGGGTGCCCCGTCCACACACGAGGGCATTGCCACCCCTCATTTGCCACCCCAAAACCCCAAATCCCTCCTTCCAAGCTGTCTGCGGTGTTGCCCAGCACAGCGGGTTTCAGCACCCCCAATCCCCCTCCCCAAAACCCCCGGGGAGGCTTTGCCGTGGGTCTGGGGACAGGCCTCGACAGCGGGGACCCCGCGGCGGTGACTCAGGGATGCCGGGGCTTGCGAAACAGGCCTGGGATGGTTTGGGAGCCGCCTCCACGCAGCCGCCCCGGGGAGCCCGTGGGGGGAACAAGCCACGGCAGCGTCTGGGCTTTGCTGACCCGTCAGGCAGGTTTCCCGGAGCAGCAGCCTAGCCGGAGCGAGGCCGGCCATGCCCCTCTGCCCGCTCGCAGGCTGACGGAGCCCCTCGCCGTCCGCTCCCGGAGCCATGCGGGCGGCAGGGCTGCTGCTGGCCTGGGCGCTGCTGCTGCGTGGGGCTGGCAGCTGGCAGTGCCAGCCGGGCAGCCCCGGCGCCGTGCTGCGCTTCACCGACAGGCACGCCGAGATCCGCGTGCCGGCGCTGCACCGCGTGCCCAGCTCGCTCGATCCCCTCTACGGCCTCGTCCGGCGCTGCCTGGACCTCATCCAGCAGAACCCGCTGCCCACAGGTGAGCCCCGAGGAGCCGGGGGGGAAAGAGCTTTGGGGTCGACAGATCCAGTGGGTTTGCAAAGAAATTAGATTAATTATTAATTTTTTAGTGTCGCTGGGCTAATCTAAATTACAGATAAATAATGAATGGCAGAGGGATTCACCCCAAAATAAACGTTTGTTATAAGTCCGTGAATATCCCCGTTCCTGGCCTGGGATGTGGATGGATTAAAAATGGGAGGATCTTTGAGTTAATGGCAAATTCCCCACGAATAATCTAGAAAATTATCCTGAACCAAGTGGAGGACACTCTGTTTACTAGGGGAAAAAATACAAAGCGAGGATGAGCTGGATAATGATTCCTCACCTCAAGCAGAGCAATCCCACTGCTGCCAGGACCTCGGGCGTTCTGCTGGCTGCGATCCCCGCGTCCCAGAGCGGCTCCAGGGGTCCCCAGGGGTTCGGAAGAGGGTCCTGCCTCTGTCCCAGAGCGGCTCCAGGGGTCCCCAGGGGTTCAGAAGAGGGTCCTGCCTCTGTCCCAGAGCGGCTCCAGGGGTCCCCAGGGGTTCAGAAGAGGGTCCTGCCTCTGTCCCAGAGCGGCTCCAGGGGTCCCCAGGGGTTCAGAAGAGGGTCCTGCCTCTGTCCCAGAGCGGCTCCAGGGGTCCCCAGGGGTTCAGAAGAGGGTTCTGCCTCTGTCCCAGTGCTGCTGCCCCAGGAAGGTTGGGGATGCCCTGGGTGTTGCCTCCTCTGCCTGTGCCATGATTTATTTTTTGCAGAGCTGCTCAGGACAGCCCTGAACGACCCCGGCTCGGTGCGGACAGCACAGGTGAGCCGGGCCGTGGGGCAGGGGATGCCATGGGGGTGTTTTCCACCTGGCACAGGGCACCTGCAGCACCCCGAGCTCGGTGCAGAGGTGCCGACGAGGCTCTCCCGTGGCGCAGGTGGTGCAGTACGAGCTGGGCTATGTCGTCTGTGCCGCCGTGGCTCTGCTCTTCACCGTGGCCGTGCCCGTGGCCGGGATGTGCTTCTGCTACTGCCGGAGCCGGCGGCGCTGCGGGGGCCGCCTCCGCGCCCACCGGCGCTCGCTGGGCTGCCGCCGCCGCTGCCTGCTGACCTGCCTGTCCTTCACATCCCTCGTCATCCTGTGAGTCCCACAAATCACCCCCCAAAACCCGCGCCGGGCGGGGGGAACCGCGTCCTGCCGGGCTGTGCCATCGCCGCCTGCTCGTTCCTCGCAGGGTCAGCGTCACCTGCGCCTTCGTCACCAGCCAGCGGGTGAAGGGGCAGATGGAGCCGGGGCTGGGGGCCGTGCCCTCCACCCTGCGCACGCTGCGGCAGCACCTTGCCAACGTCCCCCAGGTGGGTCCCCGAGCGGCCTCGCCCCCGGCGCGGGGCGCTGCCCAGGGATGGCCGCGATTCCCTCAGGGATAGTTTGGCAGGCAAGAGGAGATGACGTGGCTGAGTTAAAATGTGTTCCGAATGGCAACGCGGGGCTCCCTCCCCTCCCGGCGGCTGCTGCCCCCGGCTGACCCGCTCCTCTTTCCCGGCAGGGCGTGCAGATGGTGGTGGACAAGTTCGAGGTGCCCCGAAAGCAGATCATCTCCGACCTGGGCGGTAAGCACGGCGCGGGCAGCACCCCGAGCTTGCCCCGGGGATGGACGCGGTGCTGACGGTGCCATGGTGCCTTGCAGGGCTCAGCAGGAGCGTGGGGCTCTCCATCCACGCGCAGCTCAAGGCCATGACCTACGCGGCGCTGGCCGACCTGCGGGACAGGGCCGGAGGTACGGCCGGAGCGCCGCTGTCCCCGGCACCGCCAGCGGGGCCGAAGCCTCGCCGGGGCTCCGAGCGGAGCGGCGTGACCTAGCCCTGGCCTTTCTCTTTAAGACCTACAGACCTCGCTGCACCATTTACAGATCGTGCACAGGACGGCGCGGGCGCTGGCGGCGGCGCGGGCCGAGCTGGAGCCGGCGCTGCGGGAGCGGAGGAGCCGCGTGGTCGCTCTCCTCGACGACCCGCGCTGCACCTCCTGCGCCAGCGTCCTGGGCAGGGCTCAGGGCCTGCAGCTGGGCGCCGACTACGGCAAGGTGGGCGCGGGCTCCTGGTCCCCCTGGTCACCTCCCCACGCCGCTGCCCCGGGGCTCACAGGGTGCTTCCTCCACCCCAAGGTGCCGTCGGTGGAGAAGGTGTTGAAGGCGCTGGCTGGTCTGCCCCGAAGTGACTTTGCGGAGATGATTCGCCAGGTTGGGGGGTCGGGGTGAAGTGTGGGGGGTCCAGTACCCGCAGGCAGCTCCGGCTGAGCTGCTCAGCACCCCCCCTTTCCCTGCAGGGCAATGGCACCTTCAACTCCATCCCGGAGCTGGCCGTGGAGAGGATGGCGCAGGTCATCCAGGGTGAGTGGGGCTGCCACACCGAGTGGGGACATCCCCCACGCGGTGAATCCTTTTGGGGACACGGCGTGGGGCGCAGGGACCGTCCAGCGCTGCAGCCCAGCCCTGGCCCCGCAGATCTGCGGGCCGATCTGGCCCGCACGGCGGAGAAGGTGCAGTCCATCGCCGACGGCTTCCCCCTCCCCGACTACACGCGGCCGGCGAGCGAGGCGCTGCTGGAGGCGGAACACCGGAGCCGGCCGTACCTGCGGGAGGCGGAGCGCTTCGAGCGCTACAGGTGAGCCCGGGGGCACGGCGGGGCGCAGGGGCTGCGGCGGAGAACGGCCCCGAGCCCCAGGTGCCTCAGCCCCGCGTCTCGAGGCTGTGCCCTGCTGCTCTTCCCTCCAGGTGGATCGCGGGCACGGTGCTGTGCTCCATCATCCTCCTCATCCTCGCCTGCAACGTGACGGGAATGGCCCTGGGGGCGTACGGGCTTTCCAAGCGGGAGGACCCCAGCGACTACGAGTGCCGGGGAGAAGCTGGCGCCAAGTTT